GGCTCAGTCGTTAAGCGTCTGCCTTCAGCTCAGGTCATGATCCCAGAGTCCTGGGATGGAGTCTGGCATCGGGCTCCCTGCTCCGCGGGGAGTCTTGCTTCTCCCTCTGCCTGCCGCTCCCCATGCTTGTGTTCCCTCTCTCGCTGTGTCTCTCTCTCTGTCAAATAAATAAATAATATTTAAAAAAATAAAATGGTATATTTTATGTTACGTATATTTTACCACAATAAAATATTTACCAAAAATGCGATCAGTTTATTATGGTTATTTTTAAATCACTCCATAAATAAATTTTTGAACTTTTCAGGGTTTTCTAAGATTTTATTTTTATGTAATCTCCATACCCAGCATGGGGCTCGAACCCACAACCCTGAGATCATGAGCCGCTGGCTCCACCGACTGAGCCAGCTAGGCGCCCTTTGAACCTCTGTCTTAATTTAATACTAAATATCAATAGATACAACTCACATACACAAGAGCTCTTTGGGGTCCTCAATAATTTTTAAGGATGTAAAAAAAAATCCTGAGAGCAACAAGTTTGAGAACCTCTGCTCTATGAGCAGCTGAGCTGAGCCTGAGCTAACTGTCCCTGACACATCTCTGCAAGAATCAACAATTTCCGGATTAAGTGGCAAAAAATGTAGTTTTACATTTCTTCCGGCCAAAGCAGACAGGCGACCTCTAGTGGAAATACAAGGTATCGCTTGACGGCGCAAAATCTCTCGGTAATTTTGTAGCGAACACAACTAGACGCTCACACACACACACACACGATCAAACACGCCTTCACACACACAAACTCTCGCACAGACCCACATATGCACGCACACACACACACACACAGCAATACTGTAACACATACAAAGAGACACAGACTCACATATGGACACACACTCGGTCACATGCGCATACACACGCGACACTAAAAATAGCATATGATTAACAAAAGGGACTTGGTAAATTACCCCCATTCTCTATTTTTTTTATTGTAATGGAAAATGAGTTTCTTCCCAAAGCCATTAAATAAATGTTGAACAAGTAATTAAGATGAATCTAGGTTTGGCAGCATGCCCAATGAGAGGTCCACAATCCCTTAGCTGAAAATCCTTGGGGACAGATGCATTTCAGAACTCAGAACTGTTCCAATTTTAGAAAGGTAATTCTGAGCTAATGCTATATTTTACGTAACACTCCCAGGGGCCTGAGACAGCCCCCTCCCCATCAGACATGTTAATATATTTGCAGCAAAACGCGTGTGAAAATTCACACTAAAAGGAGATAAAGAGTGTAAATAACTCATATTAGTTGATCGGCCACCATGTGACACTGGGCCAAAATTACCCCCCAAAGAAATATTTTTCGGTTGTCACAGCTTTTTCGAATTCGGAATTGTGGAGAAGAGACAAGGGATCCCAGGAGCAGGCCCCACGTGCACGCACTTATATTCCTGCTCCGATTGTGAACCTCGGATTCCAGGCCGGGGTAGGCGTGGGGGAGGACAGCGACTCTTTGGCGCCCCCTCCTGGCAGTTCCGCCCCTCGCAGCTCGGATGCAGACGGGATGTCCACCGGCTTTGGCCTGATCCAGCGATGGGTCCTGATTGGGCTAAACCTTCCGAGTAATCCCGCCTCCACTTGCCAGTGAGTGGTTGAATCCAAGCCGAAACCAACCGCACCTGACGGCGCCTGGCCCAGGCATTGGGTCCAGGTTTGTCATGTGACCTGCACTGCTCCAGTCAAATTGAAGGAAAGCCCTTCAGCACACCAATAGGGGCCAGGTCTCCCTCCCTCCGAGGGATGGGAATGAGTTCGCAGGTGACTCCATCTGTAGGCACTCTGCGAGGCTGCTTGGGGAGGAGGCCGACCCTATGCACAGAAAGAACTAGAAACAAATGGCTGAGGGCCCAGCTGTCCGACAGCGCCACCGCATTGGTGCTAAGGCCATGCTTCCCTGGGGCTCCCCCCAACGACGACACAGCGGGCACTAGAGCCAGCCCATTACCACGCCACCCAGGACTCCTCTGATGGGCAGCCTTTGTTTAAGGACCCCCGGAAACACCCCTCCGCCCCCCCGCCCCGACTTCCTCAGGACTGTGTTACAGCCTGAGGCCCTCTGGCCCAGTCCCTCCTTCCCTCCCTCCTTTCTTGACAACCAGATGGATGGAGGTGGTGATGGTTGCACACCACCATACTTAATGCCCTGTACTGTACACTTTAAAGTGGTTTAAATGGTAACGTTTATGCTACGTGTATTTACACACACACACAGATTTGGACCACCCACTTTTCCTCCAGGCCACCATCTTGGTCTAGCCACCACTGTCCCTCACCTGAACCACAGCAGTGGCCTCCTCCCTGGGCTCCCGGCTTCCGCCCTCGCCCCGTACCGTTCGTTCCCACCCCGCAGTGAGAGAGTCCTGTTGACACCTAAGTTGGCTCTGTCCCTCCTCAGCTCACAAACCTCCCATGGCTTCAGCTCACTCCAAGCAAAAGCCAAAGTCCTCAGGGCAGTCCATGAGGCTCTGCACCATCTGCCCTCTTTCTCTCTCTCTCGGCTCACCTCCTCCTGCTCTCCCCATCACTCACTCTGCTCACTCACTGGTCTCTTGGTGGTTCCTTGGACAAGCCAAGCACCTGAGCCTCGGGGTCACTGCCCTTGCTGTTCCCACTTCTTGGCACATGCTTCCCTCAGAGATCGGCATGCCCTGCCCTTGCTTCTGCCCAGTGATCAACAACTCCATCCCTCCCCGTCACCTTGACCCCGATTATCTTCCTCCTTGGTGCTTCTTATGACCGGTCATAACGTATATCTACATTACTAATCCTATCTTTTGTCTGTCTCACCAGTAATATGTCAGCTCCCTCGAGAGCAGGACGTTTTGCCTGTTTTGTTCACGGCTGTGACCCCGGTGCCTAAAATAAGGCCTGGCACGTTGTAAAGGCTCAGTAAATGTTTGCTAAGTGCAAAATTAAGAGACAGCGGCCAAGAGAGAGACTGAGAGATCAGGAAGAGAGACCAACACGGGGGAGGCGCTGGGCAGAGGGGGCTGAACCAGAGAAGAAATGGGAAAGTAGGTGGGGCGGGGGGAGACAGGGGAAGAGCAAGGTGGGGGTGTTGGGGCAAGATGGGGGAAGGAGAAGAAATGGAAAGAGAGCCAGCCGGGGTGGAGGGCGACAGAGGGAGGAGATGAGTCAGAGAGAGCCGAGTGAGGGACAGAGGCAGAGGCTACACTGAGAGAGGTCAGGGAGAGACAGGCAGAGACAGAATGAGAGGAGGGTGGAGAGAGAGACACAGAGACAGGAAGAGAAACAGAGGGCCGGGGAGAAATGGAGCTGGGGAGAAGAGGGAGGGAAGCTAGAGAGCCCAGGGGGAACAGGGATGCAGCAGTCCCCATCTCCAACTCACCACTTGCTGGTCTCCAGAAGCTCTGGGCTGACTTGGTATCCCCTGGGATCCAGGCTGTGGTTTTTGAATCCCTGAGGGACAGAGGTGGGTAGAGAGAAAGAACATGTGATGCTGTTCAAAAGGCTGCAGATCACTAGCTTATTTGTTCCTCACAGAAACTCTCAGTACTATTAACCATCTTCGTTTTACGGGACCAGGAAGGTTGAGGAACCTGCCCAAGGTCACACGGCTAGTGAGAGGAAGAGCGGGAATTTGAACCTGGGCGTCTTGACCCCAAAGTCAGTGCCCTTTAACCATCACCTGTGCTAACTACAAAGGGGTGCTGGCTTCCCGGGTTGCCCTTTGGTCTGGAGACCCCCCCCCCCCCGGGGAAGTGGTGCCGGAAGGGTAGAAGTGGGGGAGGGAGGTAATCAGAATGACTGACATTCTCAGCCCAGTCCTCAACCACAGATGTCCCCAGCCTGAGGGAGGAGGCTCAGCTTCACTCTTTCTAGGAAAGTCTCCAGTTCAAGGGAGGAGGCCGGACAGGAAAACCACTTCCTGCCTATAGGGTCCGATGCCCTGCCCGGAGCCAGGCCTCAGTCTTCTGGGTGGGAAGATAGATTCAACTACCTTTGACTCTTTCAACAGGACCCAAGTTTCTCTGCCTCCCGCTACCAGGAGCATTGCAGACCAGAGAGGTTGTACTTATCTTCAAAGGCAGCACAGTGCTGATAACTTCCTCTGTGATTTCCAGGGAGGCAGAGGAGCCCACCACCCCTGTTCACTCTGGTCTCTCAGACCCCAGGAAAAAGGCCTTATTCCCTCCAGGCAGCATCTTGACATCTCAGGGTGACTTAGCTTCTGTCTCTGACACTGTAATCATACTACTCACAGTCCCCCAAAACCCCAATTAATCATCCCACCTCTCCCGTCTAATGCTGGGCTGTAACAGGAGGGCAGACCCCCTGCTTCTGTCCAGACACACTCGTCTTCTACCCCAAGGATACAGAAAGCTGAGAAGTCCTTCACGCTGTCTGACCTTCAACTGCCCTGTTGCAGATAAGCTTCCTCTCTCAGCCCCCAAAACTACATGATGGCGATGGGAGAAGGACCCCCATCACACCCCTCACCCCCACCCAGGTCAGGGGAGAATCCACCCAACCCACCCACGGCAAGAGAGACAAAGATCAGACGCCAGGAAGGCCTTCCCCTCACAAACTTGAAAGGGGAGACATCTCGCAAACAATACAACAAACACAGCACCAGGCAGTTGGGGCTGGAATTTATTGCAGGGGGACATATGGACACGGAGATTCAGAGAGAACGGTGGGCTGTGGGTTCTGTGCTCAGACTCCTAAGGAGGGTGTCAAGAAGCAGAGGTCAGGACCGGGTCTGCCAGATGGTGGAGGACCCCGGCCTGACGGCAGAGGAGCGAGGCCCTGGGCCAGCTCCCCTTGCCCGCCCACCGCCCCCCCATTTTTCTGGATGACGACTCCGGAGACGCTAGGCGATGTCATGAAGAGGGAGTCCGGGCCCAACAGGGTAACGGAGCATCCGCCGTGGGGGCGCGGGCTCTCGAGGGCCGGCGATCCAGCTTGGGGTGGAAGGGAGGGTTACCCGGGTCCTCGCCCCCCCGCGGCCTCCGGCGTCTCTCTGACTGTCTGGCGGGTCGGGCGGCTGCTGGGGTCGCTGTGGCGGCGGCGGCGGCGGCTGCGCGGCAGCTCGAGCTGGGGTCGCGGCCCGCCGGGGGCTCCCAGGAGGCAGGAGACCGAGGCAGCGGCGGGCGCCGGGGCAGGCGGCGCGCCCGGACGGGCGGCGCACGGAGGGGACGGCGCGCTGGGCGGCGGGCCGGCGGGGCCCGCGGGGGGCCGCGTGGGAACCCAGATGAGCCCGTAGTAGACGGCGAGCAGCACGGCGGCCAACGAAACGCAGAGGAAGTAGGCGCAGACCGGGGCGAGGCGCAGCCAGCGGCCCCCCGGGCCTTCGCTCAGCCCGGCGCCACCCGGGCTCTCGCCGCCGCCGCCCACGCAGCTCGTGCCCCGCATCGCCGCAGCCCACTGGGCCCAGCTCAGCGGCCCGCGCAGGCCCCGCCCCCGCGCCCGCCCCCCCGACCCACCCCCTCGCAGGACCGCCTCCGCGTTCTAAAGCTCCCTCGCCCAACCCCGCCCCCGCCAGCATGGTCACGCCCCCGAACGGGCGGGTCTCCTCCGGGCTCTGGGCCCGCCCCCTCCTCAGTCTCCAGCCAACCATTATCAAGCCAAGGCTTAACTAGTGTTTCCACCCTGCCCCAGGCCTGCAAAGACAGCTCTCTGCTCTTTCGACTACTGCCGGGCTTCGGGGTGATGCCCACGCCTCTTACCTGCGAACCCGCCCAGCGCCTAGCCCCGCCCTCCCCTTTCTGGCCTCCTCCCCCAGTCCTAACCCCGTCCCCTTTCGCGACTCAGGCTTCTCCCAGGCATCTAGCCTCGCCTCCGAGCCCCACCGCCTTGCGAGGTTTGGGCCTTACAGACCCCCCGCACTTCCTTAGCCACAGGCCCGCTCCGCTTCTAACGTGCCTTTCTCTGAATCAGACTCGACTCAGCATTCGAAGCCACCCTCTTCACTCCCTGGATTCACACTCTCTAGTCCACGCTCCACCCCTTTCCTCCGCCTCACTCCACTAGTTCTAGCACCGTACTGAACACGCCCTCGACAGAGGGCTGCACCCCACACCCGCATTAGGAACGCCCATCTAAACCGGCTCACGCGGCCCCATCCGACATCTAACGCCGTCCTGTGTTCTAACTCCATCCACCAGAATTCTGGCCCCGCCCAGGCATCCTAACCACGCCCCTGGCGGGACCTCCTCGCTACTTAGTGTCCTGAGGTCTAAACACTCCCCGAAGCCCCACCTCTGCCCCACAACCCAATCACGCCACTTCCCCAACTCCTCCCCACCACCCTCAATTTCTCCCTCTCCCTAAAACCATGGGATCCAGAGCGGTCTCCGGGGAGGAGAGAGCGCAGCCTGGGAATCCAGACTAACCCCCTCCTGCCGCCCCCACCCCATCAAGGCGGGGAAGCTTCAGTCCCCTCCCAGCAGCGTCTTCAGGAATTCGGGGAGGCCTGCGGGAGGGGGGGGAGGGAAGACGTATCAGGGGAGTGGAGGAAGGAAGACCCCCTTCCTCCCGCCTCTTCCGCCACGGAAAAGCCCGCCAAGCACAGCAACCCGGCCTGCCCTGCCAGAAACACAGTTCAAAGGTTAGCGGGAGCACTGCGTTTAATAAGAGCCGGGGCCGGTGGCCGGGTAATTCCGAGTCCTGTGGAAGAGTCACCGGCTATCTGCCAGGCCCCAGATGTAAACTCCAGGAGGCGGCAATCTAGGCCTGGGGACCGGCACCCAGCCCCCCATGGCTTCCATTAGGTGGGTAACTCGGGGGCGTCTCAGCCCTCCCGGTGCCACGGCGCCCCCGAAACGGGAGACTGGACTATTGCCCTGGCCCCACCCCGTTCACTGTCCCTGGCTCCGCCCCCCTTACATTTAACCCTCTCCTGGCGGGAGTGTGACGGAAGCAGAGGACAGAGGAGCAAGGCGGCAGGAGGTTAGTGCAGAGAGCGGAGGCCACAGTCGGCGGGCGCGGTCAGCGGGCGGCCCCCGGTGGCGGAGCGGCCGCCACCACCTTGCAGAAACGCACCCTCTGGAAGTCGGTGATCTCCGCGGTCTCCTGGCCCTCGGTACCCGCCTCTGGGGAGAGAAGGGGCAGTTAGCGGAGGGGACAGTCTCCCCCCCCCCCCCCGTCCAGTTCCGTCTCTGATCCCAACTGAGCCCGGCTGCAGTCCCCCTGCGCTAGGTGATTTATGGGCCTCAGACTTCTTTAATCTTCGCAGGGGACCCACAAGCTGCATGCACCCCAACAGAACCCTGTTTACAATCGAGGAAATCATCTGGGATAGCGAGATTACGGTCACCCTAAACTGTCCTCTCGCACCCCAGCCGCCCCCCTCACGCTCCCACGGGCATAAACTAACTCCCATCACGCCCCCCCCCCCATCGGACCTGTCCCTCTCTGCCCTTGCCCACGAGGGTGCTGACCAGATCTTGCTTGGCTCTGCCCCAAACGCTAACCCCGCTCCTGGGGAGGTCCCTGGTTCGCAACCTGGCTTGCGCTGATGGAGCTGAAGACGGGGTTGGGCCCAACATTCTAATGGGGCCTGCATTTCTGTTCTAATTTACCCTACTTGGTTAGACCTCAAAACTCCAATCCTGTCCACAGCCAAATCCATGATTCTACCCCTCCCCCATTCTTACTTTTGACCTACTTAAGTTCCTAATCGTGCCCTCAGCCCCGCCCCTTGAACCTAGCCCCACCCCCATTATTTTTAGATTACATCCCCAAACCCCTGGGGTCGACCTCCAAATCCCAATCCCATCTTGGCTCCACCTCCTCACGGCCCACCTTTCCCCCTGCGCGCCCCAGGGATTCTCCACTTAGCTCCACCCCCCTTGACCTTCGCTCCTGTCTCACAGTACCCTAGCACTGTAGCCTTACCCCCAGGTCCGCTGCTACCCCACACACCCAGCTACACTCTATCCTACTCTTCCCCAAACCCTCCCCTCAGCCCCGGAGGGAGAAAAAGGAAGGAAGAAGGCCATCTCGGGCCCCATCCACTCCCCCACCTGGAGCTGCCTCAGACCCTTCCTCTTCAGCTTGCTGGGTTCCTGGGAGGCTGGGCCCACTCTCAAGGGAGGCAGGGGCTGGCTGGTCACCTCCTGGGGAAGGGGGAGGCCCAGTCAAGCCCCTACCCCTCCAAATTTCCCCCCACCCTGAGAGAGAAGGCCCTGGGGGAGTGAGGGGTGTTCAAGGACACACTTGGGTAGTATCATTTGAGGACGTGAACTCTTTATTGGGGAGGGGGCTCTGTGGCCCAGAGCAAGGGCAGGATGGGGGGGGGGCATTCCAGAGACAGACATGGACTGTCCTCCCTAGCCACCAGGGCAGTGGGGCACACAGGGTCCCGGGGCCCAGGCCCTGACAGTCCCCCCTGCGAGTGTACCCCTCAAGCACACACACACAGGCAGCCAGTTTCATGCACTTCCAAAAGGCCAGGCCTCACCCGGAGACAGGGCACTGGCCGGGTGGGGGTCCCGGGGAGAATTCAGCTCCATCTCTTCACCCCAGTCAGACACAGGTTGGTGGTCTCCAGGGGCTGAAAAGGGGCTGGAAGGCGTGGCAGGGGCCTGGGGCAGTGGCGGGGGCTCCTCTGAGTCAGCCTGCTCACCGGTGGGACTTCCGGTGCGGCTTCGGGGAGGGCTTCCGGTGGGCTCAGCCTCTTGGAGTTCATGGCCTTGGGCTGGCTCTTGTTCCTCCTCATCAGCCTCTTCTTCTTCCTCGACCTCCTCTTCCTCCTCCTCACTCACGTCTTCCCACTCCTCGTCGTCCCCCTCGTGCTCCCCCTCGTGCTCCCCCTCGTGCTCCCCCTCGTCCTCCTCCCCCTCGTCCTCAGGGGGCCGGTGGGCAGGAGGAGCTGGGGTCTCCGGCGGCTGTGGGGAACACAAGGCAAGTCGGGGCGAGGGGGTGGGCCCTGAGCACACCGCAAGCCCCCTGCCCAGCGAGGACGGCCCGCCTGACCTGCGTGGGCGTCTCCTCAGGTAGAGCGGGCTGTGGGGCCTCAGGGGCTGGGGGCACTGCGTCCTTCGTCTCCCAGCGGTCATCATGGTCACTGGAGGGGACAGAAGGAAGGGGTGAGGCCTGGGTGGATGAGAAGAAGGGGCCTCCCACCTCCAGGTCCTCCCCCCGAGAAAAGCTGCAAAACTCAGCTCAGGGCAGGAGGGGGCTGCAGCTTTCCAGGTGAGGGTCCAGCATGTTGGAGCACTGAGGAGGGAAATGGTGGGTGTGTGTCCCCAGGTGTCAGGGACAGACAGACGGAGGGGCGCCAGGGGGCAGAAGGAGTGAAAGGAGACGAAGGGAGAGATGGAGGTAAAGCATTTCCCTAGAGAGCTAGGCCCCAACTCCCCAAAAACAAGAGCCTGACCCCCAGAGAGACAAGTAGCCAAGAACAGACAGGCACGAGATAGCACAGACAGGCCCCCACATACAGGAGTCAGAACAACCAGGGATAGAGCCAAACAGCCCTGCTGGGGGCACGGGGGTGTGCACACACCAAGGGTAGGGGTGACCCCACCTGTAGGCCCGAGGGGCTGCCTTGGTCTGGGGTCGGCTACTCTTCCTCCTCCTGCGGCTGACCTCAGCTTTGTGCTGGGACAGGAACTCCCTGAAAGTGGGGGGCTTGGGGGGCCGAGTCCAGGCCTGGTCATCTGCAAGAGAACCCAGGAGGAGTGGGGGACGGGGGGCACGGCACAAAGTAACCCCCATGCCTGGCCCTGCCAGCTGCCGTCCCCCCACCCCCACCCCGAGAACGCCCACTCACCATAGCGGTGGGATGGTTCAAGGGCAGCAGCTGGGCCATCCTTGAACCTGGGGAAAAGAGAAAGGGGGTGAGCATGCAGCTGGGGGAACAGTGGGGGCAGGAGGGGTGGGGAGAGATAAGGGAGAGATGGGGACCAGGGTCAAAATCAAGATCACAGAAGGAGAGATGGTCCACCAGAGGGGGTCCCTGATTAGAAGGCAGACAGGATCAGGTGATGGACAAGAGGCAAACATGACACTGGAGTGACGAATACAGAAAGAAAAAACTCAGTATTTGACACCCCAAAACAAAAATTTAGAAAGTACATGATCCCCAGCCTCCAGTCTAGCTGCAATTCCTATCACTGTCTCCCATCTCCTCGGCTAAGCAGAGTCACCTACCACACAGAACTCCTGCCTCAGGGCCTTTGTACCTGGGGCTCCTGGGACACTTCCCCAGACCTTTCAGTGGCCTGCACCCTCACCTCCTCCAGGCCTCAGCTCAGACCCTCCTAAACACCTATCTAAAATAATCACATACCGGGGCGACTGGGTGGCTCAGTCGTTAAGCATCTGCTTTCAGCTCAGGTCATGATCCCAGGGTCCTGGGATCGAGCCCTACGTCGGGCTCCCTGCTCCATGGGAAGCCTGCTTCTCCC